CTCTCTCTCTCTCTCTCTCTCTCTCTCTCTCTCTCTCTCTCTCTCTCTCTTCTCTCTCTCTCTCTCTCTCTCTCTCTCTCTCTCTCTCTCCTCTCTCTCTCCCTCCCTCCGTCCCTCTCTCTCTCTCTCTCTCTCCTTCCCTCCCTCCGTCTCTCTCTCTCTCTCCCTGTCAGTGTTTTATTTGCCCTTATTTGGTGGGTTATGGAGACACAATTCTGGTTCAGCTGTTTATTGATAGGAGGTGGCTGGTAGTTAGCGTGGCGCGGGCTGTTGTGGGGAAAGGGAGCCCAAAGGGGAGAGACCCCAAGAGGAGGTCAGGTCAGGGCCGTGAACACAGGTCAAGTGTGTTGTAGGTTTCGAGCGGTGGTCGCGGGTCCCAACCAGTGGAAACGTGGGAAGGTAACCCTTGTTCCTCAGATCGCTTGGGCGATAGGTGTGCGGCTCGGCGCATAAGAAGAACTTAACATTAATTACCTTAACCTAATTACATGTCCATAGTGGGGTCGTCACCAAAGACCATGTAATAATGATGAGGTGAGGTTCATAATTAAGATAACGAAAATCACGAACAATATGAAATCATAGTAGCTGCATAATATAATTAATCTCTAACTCTAGGAGAGTCAGATGGCTAAAATTACCTTCTACCTGAGTAAGGTCAAATGAGGTCGTTATCCAAACATTCGCTAAAAATAGCAATAGCTAGTATATATAAAATTAAATAACATTGTGAAAAAACAAGTACACAATAACCTAGAAATTAAGTAATCAAATTACCTATAAATGAAACGAATGATTTACCATATTTGAATGATTAAATGAAAAAAATATATCTATAAGGAAGATGAATAATTACGGCGAAATATACTTCGGAATGTGCACAAATATACTATAATAATAACTTAGTCATACAGTTTAATTCGATGAATTATGCTAATATTATTACAGTTCCCGATATATTCATGCAAACTGGAAGTAAATTCATCACTATCGTAAATATGTCGATAACGTGATAATGATAAAATCGCAATATTATACACGTATAAATAAGCTTATATGTGAAAAGAAAAAAAATCGAGGCTAATACAGGTCATTATAAAAGTGAGGTATACACTGTTTAACAGGACCTGACCTGATTTCACCTGAACCATGTGTGAAGTCATTCGCACTAGAAAACGAATATAACACTTTATACATAAAAATACTGAACTTGATATTCATATAAACATACAAATGAACAAGGCACACTTTTCTTGTATCAATATAAGTACGAAAAGAAAATAATATATAACTTTCGAAGCTTAACTCTAAGATAATATTGGATAATTAACTTAGGAATCACAAAGACAAAAAAGGTCATTAAGACAGGTAAAATTAATGCATTCTATTAAAAGAAATACTATTTTAAGTAAACATCACGACGAAAAATAATTGAATGCTATTGACCTGAACAGAAATATTGAAAATAGGTAGAGAGGGAGGGGGGATTAACGGGTGGGGGTTAGGAGGGATGGAGGATGTTTAGGATGATGGGGGATGGGGATAGGTGGGAAGCGTGGGGGAAATGTTTGAGCACAATTCAACTAAATTATTTAAATATTCAAATATATCCCACAAATGTTAAACCGAGCCTAATAAATGCACTTCGTAATAATATGCGAACTGAACGTCGATATGGCGTCGGTAAACGCAATGAGATATAATGAGAATAAGAAAAAAATGTCAAGAATATGGCAATACTTATAATTCTAGCCAAGTGGCTTAGAATGTCTGTAGAAACAGATAATAATTTAGAGAAAATGCACGTTATATTTCACTCACATGAATAATAGATTTAAGCATTATAAACGATTTATGCTAACTAGGCTAGCATGCTCGAGTTATATTAAAGGAAAAAACACGCCAAAGAAAGAAAATGCACTCTCGCAAGTGATAAAAATGGGGATGGATTCCCTTAAAAATGACGATTTACCATGACGAACAAACGGAACATGGTAGGTAACAGAAAAAAGGAAAGAAAATGCACTTTACACGAACACTTGTTTAGATGTTTAAGAAAAAAAATCACTGCACTTGTGAAAAAATCGTACAGCTATGCACACATAGGCTAAGAAAGAGGAAAGAAAAGAAGTGATTGCCAATGGTGTATTTACGATTTTTCGGAAGGAGGCTTGTGGTTCGCGACATTCCGCCGTCTGCCACCAGTTGTCAGGGTTTGTGTTTTGCCCTCAGTTGGTGGGTTATGAAGACACAATTCTGGTTCAGCTGTTTATTGATAGGAGGGGTAGGTAGCATGGCGTGGGCTGTGTCTCATGCTGGTGCAGTTGTGGGCAAAGGGAGCCCAAAGGCGCGTCAAGCGGTAACGCGCGTGTGGGGTGCGAGCCCCGAGAGCCCTGGTCAAGTGCGTCTTCTAGCGCTGACGAAAGGCTCGGGTGTCCCTATCACTGGGGGACGTGGCTAGGTACTCCTCATACCTCAGACTCATCTCTCTCTCTCTCTCTCTCTCTCTCTCTCTCTCTCTCTCTCTCTCTCTCTCTCCCTCCCCCCTCCCTCCCTCTCTCCTCTCTCTCTCTCTCTCTCTCTCTCTCTCCTCTCTCCCTCTCCCTCTCCCTCTCCCTCTCCCTCTCCCTCTCCCTCTCCCTCCCTCTCCCTCTCCCTCCTCTCCCCTCCCCTCCCTCTCCCTCCCTCCCCCTCCCCCTCCCCCTCCCCCTCCCTCCCCTCTCCCCCTCCCCTTCTCTGTCTTCCCCCCCTCCCCCCCTCTCTCCTCTCCCACCATCTCTCTCTCTCTCTCTCTCTCTCTCTCTCTCTCTCTCTCTCTCTCTCTCTCTCTCTCTCTCTCTCTCTCTCTCTCTCTCTCTCTCTCTCTCTCTTCCCCTCGAATTACAGAAAACACCTCTTCTCTATTAGATTTAATAATAACTAACAAACCAGATCTCATTCTCCATTCCGATGTCACCCCATGCCACGTTGCTGATCATGAACTTATCACGATGACGATAAATATAAAGAAAACAAAGAGACCACCAGTAATAAAAACTTTTCGCGATTTCAAACACTATGACCCTCAGTCTTTCCGCGAACTTATCCTGTCTAAAGAAATGAATCTATTAAATATTCCATTGACAGATAATATAAACAAACAAGTAACTATTCTCACGGAAGTTATTAATATCAGCATCGATGCGCTGGCTCCCTACGTAACACGAATCGCCAGACGTCCCCCTGCTCCATGGATAAATGACGACATCAAGAGAGCCATTTGCGATAGAAATGAAGCCCACCAAGCTCTTAAATTTAACAGACATGAAGCTGCCTTTCAAGTAGATTATAAAGTAAAAAAGAAAAATGTCAAAATGTTAATTCAATCTGCTAAAAGAAATTATTTCAGAAATAAATTTACCGAATATAAGAACAACTCTGATAAAACATGGAAAACTGTTAAAACACTAGTGCCTCAAAACAAACTCACTAGTGATTGTGCAGGGCCTACACAAAACACAGAACATTTTAATCACTTCTTTTCAAAAATTGGAAAACTAACTTATGAACAAACAACTGCTTTGGTTTAAAAGTTATTTAGATGCAAGGACCCAATCGGTAAGAATCAAAGATTGTATGTCATCAAAACAAGAAGTACCCTTTGGTGTTCCACAAGGATCCATTTTAGGTCCGATCCTATTCACAATTTTCATAAATGATTTATCAACAATAGCTCATAACTGCCTTCTGGTACAGTACGCCGATGATTCACAGTTTCTTCATAGTGCCTCTGTAAACAACTTGAATACATTAATAAGAAACACTCAACATACCCTTACACAAGCAAAATTATATTTTGACACTAATGGCCGTAAACTAAATCTACATAAAACTCAATGTATATTTATAGGTAGCCGGCAGAATATAGCTAAAATTCCCAATGACACGACCATAGAATTTGAAGGCTGCTCTATCAAGCCGAACACTTCAGTGAATAATCTGGGAGTACACTTAGACAAATACATGACGTTTGAACAACACGTTGACAAGATACACAGGAAAGTAATGGGCACCCTAGTATATCTAAATCACATAAAAAATCAAATCACTACTGAAACTAGAATCATGGTTGTGCAAACTCTAGTTCTAAGCATTATTAACTACTGTTCAAATATTTGGGGTTCGACTAACAAAACCCAAATGCAAAAAGTACAAAAATTACAAAACTTTGCTGCAAGAGTTGCATTAGGTAATATCAGTAAACTTGATCACATTAGCCCACATATCCAAAAATTAAATTGGTTAAAACTCCAACCTAAATGCAGTTATGATACATGTGTATTCATCTACAAGCCCATTCATGGGAATTATCCGCAATGGTTAATGCCCTTGCAAACTGTAGGGACCACATCAGGTGTCGTGACACGCCAAGTAAACTCTCTTTATGTTAAGAGATCGAGGACTGATACAGGGGCACGACAAATGGAAATACGTGGACCCAAGCTATGGAACATGTTACCAGATAATATAAGAATCATTAATAGCTTTTGTAATTTCAAAACGAAATTAAAAGAACACCTATTAAATAATCAACTGTAGATATGAATGTATTTATGTAAAGAATAACCATTGTAATTAATGGAATAAAATGTTTTGACTTTTGACTTTGACTTTGACTTTCTCTCTCTCTCTCTTTTCCTCTCTCCTTCTCTATCTTCCTATTTTTCCATCTATTTATCTTTCCCTCCCTCTTCCTCTACTTCCCTCTCCGTTGTCACTCTACATTTTCCTCCCTTACCCTCTCAGCTTTCGCCGTGTTCCCTCTTTCGTTCTCCCTTCTCCTGTCCTTTTGATTGTAATTTGTCCAACTTTCTAATCCTATGAATTAATAAGTTCTATAAAAGTGCTTATGGACTTCATGAAGTACTGTCTTAGCGTATGAGGCAACTCCGACATTAAGGGAAGTCCTTCCTGTCTGATAAGATATTGAGACCACTCTTAGCAGCACCGATGTTTCATGGGTTTTTAGCTTACTAGTTCATTTGCTTTGAGTGTAGATTGTCACACTTTATGTTCATACATATTGTATAATTACATAGTGTGAGGATTATGCCTGAGTATTAATAATTTAGTTGCTGTGAACAATGGCAGCTGATCCGGTGTATGGCAATTTTGAATCTCAAGACGGAGTTCGGAGTGATGAAGATGACGACCCAGTATACGGAAACCATGATACTCTCATATTCCGGAAAATTGTAGAAGAAAATTTAACCATAGAGTAAGTTTCCATGACTTCTTCGCAAGTTGCTAATGTACCCCTGATTCTAGATCTTTCAGAGATAGGGTTTTGAAATGATCTTTCTTTTGCATTGCATAATTGAATTGTTTACCATTCTGTTTTTCCAATGGCTATTTTAATTCGCTGCTTAACTGTTCAACATGAGATCTTGTCACTAAATTCCTAATCTTAGGAAGGACATGTGTCCTTTGTCGCCCCTTCCCAACGCTTATACGAATTATTTGACTGCGTAGATACGGCATCGCCATATAAAGAAAGGCCAAGAAATGAGACGGAAGTTGCCCATTACAAAGTAGGCTAAACACCGGACAACTTACGTATTGATTTTTTACATACTCATGTGTTTTTGTCATTTCTTTGGTGAATTACTGGGTATTTATTATCTATCTATTTATGTTTTCATATGTTTATTTTTACTAGCAACATTATTGGGTCAAGATATCAACCGCCGTCCCATTTCCCGGCAAGTCGGCCGCCTCAGAGCAGCCAAGCGGCGGAGCAAGCGAAAGGTGGCAGCGAATGGATGCACGTGATTGACTCCGATGATGGATGGTCGAGTGACGAATTTGATGACATTACTGATCAAGATTCAGTGAACACCAACCAACCTCATGATGTAAGTAGGATTCAAATATGCACTCAGCTTGTACACTGTGTGCATACACCTTATTCAGCCCTAAACAAAGTAATATTGTCATGAATTTGATCCAAGTTTTGACTCAACGCATTTCCATAACTTACCTCAAGACATCTGTATTTTTTCTCTCTTTGTCAAATTTCAATGAATTTCAATGCGTCTTTTTACGGGGACTGTCCATAATTGGAGGCTAACCCCAGTTACTTTTCATTATTTTCCCCATACACATATTTGGTGTACTACCGTTCTAAATTATGTAATAGTTGTAAAATTAAGAAATAGCATAAGCATCAATAACTCCCGAAGGAAACGAGGTTTCTTTATTCGTGCGAATAAATCTAAAGAAAAAAAAAAAAAACCAATTTACACCCACAAAAGGGGAGGAGAATGCACATTAAGGCTTTCCAATACTTAAACAGAAAATATTGATTTGAGGAAAAAAGTCAGTTTCAGTTAACTTTATCATAGTATTGTCATGAAAAAACAACAACATTTATTTGTCTTTCAATTGCTCTCCATTACGTCAAGATATACTAACTGGCTTCCATTGGTCGGATTCAATAACATATAAAATTGCAGTGCATTTACCATTGCGTTTACCAGTGATGGCTATGTGGGATTTCCGAAGAAATAATAACTTGCATCGCAAGAGTTACAGTCGTAAATCAACTCGTTTTAATGGTAGCCAACATGCATAATATTTTAGGTTCTCCGGCCAGTCACGGAATATGTAAATAGAACTAGACACAGCGAGATTTTAAAAATCATTTTCATAGCTAAAACACCTTTCAAGCACATGTATAAAAAAAAAATTGAGATTTACTTAATCATATCCAACATGTAAGATGTTAATAGACTTCCCTGGCTATTTATCGTATAAATAGGAACTATTACAAACACTTATTAGTATATCATTGTTTACCGCAAACCAAAGAAACAGTGCTAACAGTTTTTATTTATCTATTTATTTCTAATTATTGTTAAACTAAGAAACGGTCCAAACACAATTTTTATTCATTAACATCTTTCGTCAAATAAATGAAGTATTTCAAGTTCATTCTTGCCCATGACTTTGGAGTTTGTTGTCCGTTGCCAAAGCGCCGACAGACACAGGAGTTTTTATACTTGGTTAACATTGTTATTGCCGGTTTGTATATCTGATAAGTAATTTTTTCTATAGAATTTGTAGTAATTATGTCAGAGAAGAGTTTTTAATGAGTTCACATATATATCCATTCCATGCACTCTAGAGTATAATAAAGACTTGTCTACCAATAATTTTACGAAAATTTGTAGATTTTACTTTTGCTAATTTCATATTAAATTCGCATTTCTTCGTCTTGTCTATAGTGTAATATGCTTGCCATCATACTAATTAATTATATCATCTACAAAAACAAACTAAAAAACTTTGCAAAATTATTTTAAACGAGATATACATGTATTGACATCTTCCCAGAAAGAACCAGGGGACGTGCCAGTTCTCAGACGAGTGGTAAAATTTACCATGGTAATTCCGATGACAAGTTGTTAGTGAGTACCACTGCTGTTTGTTTACCATGGGAATGATCATTATTAATGATTTTGCCATCGTAAGTCCATTAGCGAATCCGGCCCCTGGCTGTATGAAATAAACGTCGCGTGTGGGAAGGGAATAAATCATAACCCAGACAACATGGACTGTTGGTCTTAATGCATTTGTTTGAGTGTCTACTCATGAGAACACGTGTGCGCACAAGTATATACATGTATACGTAGACAGGTGTTTGGTCAGTGTCATTTACATAATAGGATGTACACGTTGAAGTCAGGTTATATCCAGTGCATTATTTATGAAGTTGAAAATTATCTATTTGTTTATTTTTTTCTCCAACTATGTTAGTTCCATTAGAGAGGAATCGATTTTAATAGGACATTTTTGGTTACTAGTGATCCATTTATTTTCGCACCAGTGGTGATATTCAGTCAACAACAGCATAGTGTTATACCCTAGTTTTTCGACATTGGACTGTTGTCATTGGAGTTAGTTGTCCCTGAGGTATCGGGAGTGATTCGAAACTGAGTTATACCACTTATTAGACACATGCCCATATAATCATAAAGTCTCGTAAGAAATAAGAAAGAAAGAAAAAAAAAAGGCATAACGTCGTATCACAAGTCGGCGACTATCACCTTTACCTACACATATCTTACTGTAACAAAAATAACACATTATAATTTGACATTACCTACTGATATGGGCAAAAGAGTCATCCCAGGATAAAGATTGCATAATAAAAAATAACCCATTAACTTTTTTTTATGGAAAATAAAGATATGATTGAATGTAGACACAAATCAAAAGTAAGTTAGAATTAGATAGAATAAAAGTAAGCTAGAATTAAGCATTAATCTGTTTCAAAGAGCGTAATATAGATTACCATAAGCAAACGACCACGTGGTACGGCTCCCACAGGGGCTTGTGTGCATGTTTATTTATCGAGAAAACGGAAGTAAAATAATATGATAGATCCATAAAAAATATATATTTCTATTATACATAGCAGAAAGATGCAATCATGACAGACGAGTAATGGCAGATTTACCAGCCATTTTCGTAGTGAGTGCGTTTCGGGAGTGTCAGACCCGTCTATCGGAATGCTGAATGTCATACAAAGGTCGTATCCACAGTTTCAGGATTTTACTCATCCAACTTTTATCTGATTAAATGATAACTATTTTGAAGTCGAAATTTCACCGTCAACTTAACTGAAAATCGCCCCGAAGTAGATAGTGATAGATAGATGGATGAATAATAATAAAAAAAAAAAACAATGATACATATCCCTAGGCCTACATCCAATGTATTTACACCGCTGATGTAAGACTATTGTTTAATTTCTTGGGACCACTTCCAGTGGGTTAGGTTTTTAAAGTACACTTGGAGCAGAGAGTAAAAATTTTACAATTGATGTAATGTAATGTAATGTAATGTAATGTGTAGTAGAGGCAGGGGTGATTTGGTATATTTGGTAGATAAAAAATAAAAACTTTTTTGTTACGTAACGAACTGAAGGGGAGGGTCGGCCTGGGACATGATTAAAAAAATGTTCGGAAAAAAAAAATATGTCGGCAGGATTCGTCTGTATGAGCTAGAAGTTTGGAAGCGAACTTTGCATATATAAAGAACAGAGCAAATATGATCCCTCTTCAATGTGTATGGATGCTCGATTTTTGATGAGATGAGAAATTGTGTGGTCATTTAGCAACGTTATATGGAGGTAACCCCAACATTTACAGAGCTGTGACGTGCAAAGTGGTCCCACCAAAATGGTGCTGATCTTGACTCCAAATTTTGCCGCCCGCCTCAGCTGCTCGACCCATTTTTTGAGATCAGTGATTTACACACATTGACCCACTTATGTATGTGACGAACACAAAAAAGAGCTAAATAAATGTTCTTTATTAATGTATGTATTAGGATGAAAGTCATATATATATATATTTCAATTTTTGGGATTTCTGACATCAATGATAATGCCTTAGCAAGAACAATGGGGAAAGCAATCGAGCAGAAACCTTCCAAAACCTCTATCGAATGAAGTGTGGTTGTTATTAGTAAATCTGAAAGTCGGGTGCGAAGATCGGGTCACATACTCAGAAACTGTCAAATGTATGCATTAGAATAGATTAATGGTTTTATTATCCGAAACTTTGCTAGTCCTTTAAATACGATGATATACACGTGCAAACAAGTAAGGCAAATACAAGTGCTACTCATGCTATCATAGAACAAACTTTTAAGTTGCACAGTAGTGAACTTATTCAGAATGTAGCTGCTACGATAGTATGCGCAATTATGCAAAGGTTTTTACGTCACCTTATGCACAAGTACAGTTATCAGTGCAATAATGCTCCCGTCAGCTAAACTTTTGCTCATTGCTGCTTGTATGAAAAAAAACAATGTATGGGCAAGTAACCAATCAGAGTCGTAGATGTATAATCAATTTAAGATGTGTTTTTAGTGCAATAACGATATCGTCTAATATTTTCTTTGCTTCTTGCCTTTAACAAATCGACATCGCACTTTTTTCCAGAAATCATTTCCATTGTACTTTGATGTCTACAATGATTAAAGCGGGTAGATACATCAGAGGCAAATAATTTTCGCAGAGTGTATGATTTAAACTTCGTAAAAAGTAAAGACTGGCAGCTCAGAGCAGTTTGACAAAACGAACCTGATACAAATATCTGACTATAAGAGTTTTTAACTTACCATATACAGATATGGATGTCTGCTTGTAGCCCTTGAGGCTCTTTCAAATGTTTCCAAAAATGCGCTAGATTATACATAGAAGGTATCATCTGAAACCAATCTAAGGTGAAAAAGTATGTCGCATAGTTTACCAAATGACCTATGCCAGACAAAGGGGCCGCCAGACGCCCTCAAAGGGGCCCTGAGTTCATATCTAACCTGGGTTAAACATTAGAAGTGCATAAAGCATAAAAGTGTGTAAAGAGGGGGGGGGAGGAAGAGTGGGGATAGGAGGAGGAAAAGAATTTTAGGAGAAGGAGCCGGGGCTTCACGCAGCCTGCGGGGTAAACTTGAGGTAATAGTTGGAGTGGGTTTGTTGAAAGAGGAAAAGTATCGAGGGGCCCAGCACCATCGGCAGACTCGCGTGTTCGCCGCGCGGCCGCACCTCGCGAGATCGTGCGGCGAGGTAAGGCCGCGACTTGTGGCGCGGGGAATACACCGCGACCTTGAGCGCGGCTCGCCTCGCCACATTTTTCCCAGGGGCGTGGAGCATTGCTATGGCGAACACGGAGCCTCTCGGCTAACTGAGGGGGAGGGGAAAGAAGTTAGCAGGTTTTTGGCGCCATCTGCGGTATGCTCGGAGCCACGGCCTCTCGACCGTAGCTCCAGAGCTGTCCGTCGGCTAACCATCACCGCTGAAGCAGGATGAAGCTCGAGTGAGACCACACACAGGCTGGACCTTCCCGCCCGGATCGAGAGGAGATCTCTCTCCCTCGGCCGCAGGTCTTCCGGAGGGGCGCGGCTCGGGCGGCCTCACCACGATTGGGTTAACTCCATTGGCCGTGACGCTTCTTTCCTCGGCTCGCACAAACCCTTACGCTAAAGGGTTTGTGGTCCTAGCACGAGTACTAGCAGCAAGCGCCACGTGTCGGAAACCGAAACCAGTGGGATGTCAGGGTAAGGATAAGGATGAGGGTCAACGCTATGGCAAGGATATGGTATGAGTGAGGGTGAGGAGTGAGGTGGCGGTCACAAGCGTCAGGAGACGAGGTGAAGGTATTTAAAAACGGGGATAAGAGAAGGCAGTACCTGGGGGAGATTACTTTATTGAGGAGATTAAAAAGGTACAGGACCACAAAAACCAAAACAAGTGAACAGACAGAAAGAGAACACGAGAACAACTGAACAAAACGAGTGGATAGGGGAAGGGGAAATTTGAAAGGAATGAGTAGAAGGTGGCTTCAAAGTGATGCGGCAAAACCCGAAAACTGCATCATTCCCTGTCCCATGCCGGAACGAAGGATGGAGGGTGAGGCCATCCAGCCAGTGGTGAGTCAAGCACGGAATTTGTTGGTCTGTCTACAGGCCAACTTACCCCACATGATGTTAAGGAGGAAGCGAGAGGCTTCCTCGCGGAGTTCAGACGTGCAATAGATCGGTCACGACCCACTACAGGAAACCGTCTGAGTGCTTCATTCAATCAGAGCAAGCTGGAGTTTGTGTTTGTTAGTGTTTGCTGTTGGTGAGAGTAAAGTGTTTGTGTGTGAAGGAGAGAGTTTTTGTTTAGATGCAGCTCGTGCGTGAGATTGCGCGTCTGGATCGACCTAGCCAACACGGGGTCCTCCACCGAGATGGAAGTACCCGCGCCGGCTCGGTCGGTCGTCAGTAAGTCACTCAAGGTACACCCATTCTACCTGGGTTTACCTTGCGTGGCGTAACCTGAGCCCTGTAGCGGCTCCGCGATCGACGGCTCCTCGAGGTCAGGCAGGGAGTCCTGTGAACCGGCGCGTAAATCCTGAGAATCGGCGGACCAATTCCCGATGCTCCCGCGCTGTCCCAGGGGTCATCTGGCAGGAAGCATGGCTCCAGCCCAGAGCCCAAGCCCGGCCTAGAGAACGCTCTCGACATCGATGTCGGAGTCGCTACTGTCGTCGTCAAGAATGGTGTCATCCAATCTACGACGACGAGCTTGAGGGATAGGAGGATCCTTTTTGTCTTTCTTGGTGTGCGTGGATGGTGGTGTGGTTTGTTTGCGTTTGTGATCAGTGGTATTTGTAGTATGGCATGCCTGTGCTGTTTCTCTATGTCTTCGTTGTGGCTGAGGTTGCAAAACGAGGTGTCGGTGTTGTGAGGAAGAATGAGGCTCTGGGTGAGTGTCTGTCACATTTCCTGTGGTTTCTGTGTATGTTGTGGCGTACTCAGGGATGTATAGGTTTTCGTCTTCAAAGATTTCCTCAGGGACAACAATGCTGTGGAAGCCGTTTCTTTGGAGCATAATAGGGACAATGTTTGCGAATCTTTTTGCGTTGTATTTGG